TGAATTGGTTGCACTAAAAAATACACTACAGTAATTAGTTAAAGACTTAGAACCCTATTCTCCGATGAGATTTGTAACAATACCCGGCAATTATATATCAATAATTATACTTAAAGTAATAAAATAATTACACGAGTAGTTAGCATTAATCTCATTCGAGAACCTCCCATTGAAAAATTTCTAAGCATACTAGATAAAATTCGGCTCAATTGAGCAAAAGAGTTTGCTTCAAGTTAGCTTAAAATAGTCAAAAACAAACCACCAATAAAGCCAGATAAAACTGTCTAATGACCATACTCGCCAACAACCGTTTTTATAAAACAAATTACCTGCAAGAAATTGCGAAAAATATACAAATGCAATTTATGAATTAACTATTAGTCTAATTGGATTAGAAATATACCTTAAGCACGATTTACTGACGGTAGAAGATTGTCCATATTTAAGTTATGCGCCTAGCAAGATACTAGAAAGAATCTGTAAAGCTTTGAACTCTTTATTCTTTTAAAGTAGCAAATCCCGCATTTGTAGCTGAATAATTTGCACGGGCATGTTTCGACTCCATATCTAAAGCCATTTTATACATATTTAATGCATAATCGTATTGGCCTTGATTCTCATAAACTAGTCCAATATTTTTGTAGGGTCCGATAACATCGAATAGATATCCTCTGATAGTCGTAATCGAAGACGTAGCGCCTGTTGATACTGTTCCAGAGCATCCTGATACCTTGATCGATGATGATAAATAACTTCCATATTATTTCTTAATCCAGCAATTTTAGATTTATGATCAGGCATCCTTTGCAAAATAGTGAGGGCTTGCCAAAACATAGCTAGTGCATGGTCATAATAACATTGATGAAAACTGGTGATTCCAATGTAATAGTACGAGTCAGTAATATTAATGTTTTTTTGTCCTAGTGCTTGTAATTTTAATCGAAGTGAACGATTTAAATATTGCTATCCTTTACAATAGTATTCTTTTGAAAGATTTACCATCCCTCGAATATCCAGGCAAATAGCAATCTGTACTTTGTCATCAAGTTTATTAGCCTAGTTTTCTGCTTTCCGTAAATATTTTCATGCATTTTTCCATTAATTTTCTCTTCGGTACGTATCAGAAATTAGAAGTTAAAAATGACATGTTAACTGATCGCAAACAGCATTCGTATAGAGAATTTGAACTTTTTTCAAGGCCTGTTTACAATAAAACCGTGCCAAAGAATAATTCCTCCAATTATAATCTTCATTACCTTTATCGTTGAACACCTTTTGCCTCTTGTGGGACAATTAATTTCGTTACTAGATCGTCCATGTCAACATCGCTTAATTTCATGATATCATAAGCAATAACCAATGAACATTTTGGGCTATTTTTGCATAACGGACGGATAATATTTTAAAATTGAATGAGTATTCATGACTACTATTTAATAATTATTAGATAAGCTATTCAAATTGAAGTGCTAGTTAGTTCTTCTCCCCATTTAATATGAGCTACACAAGATACAATTTCATAATTCCGTGTTCTGCCAACTAACAGTAATTTTAAGATATATTTATATTGCAGATAGAATATGCTGTGGTTATATTAGTAAGCTGATAGTATTTTCTTTACTTCCGCTTAGACCGCAGGCAATTATAAGTCATCATTACCTTGTACTTACTCTGTTAAAGGGTTAAACAGCTTTGGAGTCATCATCAAGGATAATTTAGTTTTCAATATAATGTAGTTTATTAAGCTTAATACTATTACAAATATAAAAACTATCTCTAATATGAAAATTACTCTCGGAAAGTACCCTACTTCTATTTATATCTGTTAATTACAATATTGCCATTATTATCAACCATTCAGCCTTAAAACGATTCTTTGTAATGTTCTTCGCCATTTTACGGTCTTGCATCATTAAGTATAATTTTAATGCAGTGACCAATTATCAACTACAATTTATTTAGTATCAGGTAAATAGCTTATAAAACCCTAAATGTGGCATCGAGTAATATAATCCAGTACTTAGTATAGATAGGATCCTTCGAATCGTGTTACAGCAAATAAATGATGTTGTCATTATGGTCATGTGCGTAGATAACAATGGAAATATCTAAATTAATGTTCATCATTAATCCGCATAATATATATTTATAACTAATAAAACGAAATCAGTGTAGACAGCGGCTCTATTATAGTAGCTGAAAGCAGGATTAAAGATTTTGGATTATCCCTTTATTTTACCCTTTGAGATTTTATTTCAACAAACTAAACCTACTTTACTTCAATTACATGCTGTATTCATCCGTCTAGATTAGGTCTTTTACGTTATTAAGAATATATTACCGTAAATAAACACTGAAATTAAGCACTGTGATTATGGTGATGTACATAAAACTAAATACTACAATAGAGATAGAAGTTGATGCTAACCGGAAGTTAAATTCCAATCCAAAAACTAGAGTTAAAATTCTGTAGAATCATAGATAGACTAGATGTAATTATTGCCCAAAAAAACAAGACTAGAAAAAATTTGATTTTATTGCCTTTGAACTCGATTAAAACTTCAAGTAATATGGTATGTAGTAAGCAAAAATTTGTACTAAGTTTAAATTAAAAATTCCACAACTAAAATTAAAAGAAATGGCAAATTGGCTCATAAATACAATTGTGCTATCAGTATAATTAAATAAACGCTTCCGAAAGAACGTAATATTCAAATAATAACATAGTAGTAACAAATAATTCTCTGGTAACTGTTACTGAACGCGTTATTTCTATTTTTAATAAGAGAATAAATTGAAATGCTATTTCGATGTGTTTACAGTAAATTGCGACAGGAAAGACATTTCGAAATTATATTGTCTTCACGTAAGTACGTAAATCTCAAGATTTGTTTGCTTAATAAGCTCTAATGTGATAAAGATATATCTAAACACCCGTAAATGTTCTAATTTTCTGTAAAAACTGGTGCATTATACGTCTCTGTAAGGCTTTCTAGCGAAAATATACTAGAGATTAAATACATCAAATTTTATTAAAAGTTGAAAAAATTAGGTTGCTAACAACGACCACATTAGCAACAGGCGTTAAATGTAGTACCCAGTGTTTATACCCATTTCGAAGAGTGTAGAACTATGCCGGCAAGGATTAAATTTATCAAGAATCAAAATAATCAGAGAATCATGTTTAATACAAAAAATTATCAGTACTTGTATATAAGTTACGGTCAAAACCCGAAGTTGGCCAATACGCGTATTGCCCGGTAATATTGGCCATTACGCGTAATACCCGGGTGTCTAGCTTCAAATTTTTTTAATTTACCATGCAGTAGAAATCATGCAGAAAGATACTGTCTACTAGCCTATTTTATTGTTATATAGTATATAGCATGACAATCCAAATAGATCAATACAAAATTTTCAGCAGATTTTAATTCTTTTAAGTCAGAATATATTTATTACAATATGGATAGTTATGATCATTAAATAAAATTTCTGACAATCAATGTGCCTTTACCGTTCTAACGGATCAGTACCACAAATAGAAAATGAAATATGACGGCATTTAAATCGGGAATATAAGTATTATAACATGAAATTACAGTACTAATAAAGCTTGATATGATAATCAGATCTAATTTTATCATTATTTCGGCTGCATCAGCTATTTATAGATTCTATTTAGAACTATAGCCTAGACGTATCCAACTAATGTAATGAATACTAATGATTTTATTTTACTGAGTTAGATGATTATCACTTTAACTGTTGTATTTTAACCATTAAAATATTATGAAAAGGTTAATGCGATGTTCAATTTTATCATTTGAATTGTACTTAGAATGAAAATTGAAATAGAAATATTTGTTAACATGTAGTTACGATAGTTTACTTGATTATAAATATGGTGTTATGCAATTTTGTAGTAGAGTCAAATTTTATTCATTTGACAAAGAAAAATTCCTAAAGCCGCGTCTTATTTTATAGTGCTAGAAAATAAAATTGCACTCTGCACTTGATACATAAGTTAAGAGAACCTTACTGTTTTTGAGCTTTTCAGATTTGCTTTTTTGCGCTTAGGCTTTTTAGATATCACATTTTGATCCAAGCTCAGTAGTAAATACTGTAAGTCCGTGCTTAAAGTCATTTTCAAAGTCTAGGATATAATTATGATTGCAAAGTAAGCATAATTAGAGAATGAATTATTATTTATCGAAACTGTAGCAATACCATATTCCAATTCATACAGATACTATTCCTAAATAATTTTTCTATTTGAAGACTACCTTATATCTTAATATGTAATATAGGAGAAAATGAAAAAATTTATTCGCTATATGCCTTTAAAAAACACCATTATAATTTTTAATGAAGCATGGCTTAGGTAAAAATACTAAGTTGAGATGTTATATTACAAAAATTTAATAATGCTGTCATACAAGTTTAAGCAGAATTTCTGGAAATTAATCTAAAATTTTACTCTAGACTTTAAATTAAACTACTAAACTGCTAGCTCTCAGCTACTAAATAACCGCATAATTGTCCGTCACAATCTTTAATCGTGAAGTATCTAACATAAACGAGCTGACGAGTATCAAATAACTTCGCAGCAGTAGACTGTAATTGATGAAATATTAGTAAGTGCTTGATTAGATTCAAAAATACGAATCTGATTTTTAAATGAGCTAGAACTGTCAAAAAGCCATTGAATCGTTATAGAAATTGATTTCGGCAATTTATTTTTTAAGTATGGAAATAATAAAAAAAATAAATACCTTCAGTCGAAAGTTTCATCGTCAGTCATAACTTCCGTCTCCTCTTCAATTAATCCTATTTCCAAATAAATCAGTTTTGTTATGATCAACCAAGTAGAATGCCGCATTGATAGAAAAACAACTCAGCAGTCAATAAGTTAAGAGTAAATAGAAGTCAATAGTGAATATACCTTCTTGTTTTTTCGAGTTTCGAACATTCTTTCTATTCTCTGCTTCAGATTTTAATTTCTCCTTTACAGCAGTCAATTTTTTGTGCATTGCTGCAGCATCATTAGTATTATCCTGTTTCTCGTAGACATTGGCCATGTTACGATATAATAAAGCCACTTCTGGTATGTTTTCTCCACTTATTTTCATATAAATTTCCAAAGCTTTCTGATAAGTAGACAGGGCATTATCGTACATAGATTGATTCTTATAGGCGTTTCCCATATTGTTGTATGAATCGGCGACATCAGCATGATACTCTCCAAGTAATTCCTGTCTTATAGTTAGAGCATTCTGATACATTAACAAAGCATCGATGTGTTTATTTTGACGGCGGTAAGCATTTCCTATAAGATCGTATGAATTAGCAACATCAGTATGATTACGTCCTCTTAGAGTCAAACGAATATCTAAGGCTTTCTGGTGCATGGAGACAGCTTTATCATAAATCTTTTGCCTTTGATAAATATTGCCTAAGTTATAATAGGAGGCAGCAACATCTAAATTATGATCGCCTAATATTTTCAATTTTAATTCCAGCGAGCCTTTCAAATACTCCAATGCGCCAGTAAAATCATTTTTCAAACTTTTGATAGCGCCTTGTCTATCTAAGCATTTAGCAATTCGAATGCCGTCATCGAGTTCAAGTGCAATTTTTCTGGCTATCTGATTAAATTTATCCGCTTTTGAGTTTTTACCTTGTCCTCGATATGTATCACAAATATCAACATAGACATCACATCGAAACTGATCTTGCTCGATACTAGCATATGTGATTGCCTCAATTTTATCTAACGCTTGTTCGTAACATTTTCGTGCTTGATTGTAATTTCTAGCATTAAAATAATTATGGCCTTTCTGGCGGAGAGATTTAACTGCTTCAGGCACGCTTGATTTACTAGGACGACTACCCATTGATGATGTGAAGTAGTTATAAAACGTTTCACAAAAGTAATATCTCGATTCTAATTCACTTTTCCAGTATTTAAGATAACAGTTGATGACTTATCGATATCGTTTCTCTTGGATACAGATTACTATCGATAAAAGTTTAGCCAAAGTATTCCTCAAGGTCCACTTAATCCACTATTTGATCTCTAAAGATTTAAAATAAATACAATGTTAACCAATCAATTACTCTTTCCTAACTTTAGAAAATAAAGATTTAAATCTTTCTTCTAGCTTCAATCTGCTAAAATCTAGAAGTGAAATCAATGGTAACTACTTTATAAGATCTAGTCATCTCTGAAGTTTAATTTACTTACTCTTCTCACCTAGGCAACTTTCAAGATTAACTTGTTTCTTTACCATCTATCGCTATGGCGCTTATTAACATATTCGTGATAATTAAAAATAGTAACTGCTCTAATTAGTTCGCTATTTTATATTAAAGCTATTTCGGATGAAATATGCTAATACGTCTAACTTCTATGTGTATCTATATCTACGATACTTCTCCAATCACTTCTTTTCAATCATCACCTGCTGAACACTTATAGATAATTTGTTTTCTTAGTGAATGTAAATTATATCCTATTGTTTCGCTATTGTTTGAGAACTTATTGTTCACTTTAGATATCATTATTGCTACGATGATGGAAATTGTACATGATTGTTTGTAAAGTATTCATGCTGTCATTACTTCCTGTTGTCATGGTCGTATCACTTGTTGCGTTTGATATCTATACTTTTCTTGTCATTTTTCGATAGATTGGCATTAATTTCTTTAAGACATAGCTTACGATAATCGAATTATTTTGAAGTAAGATACGTTATATAATATTCGTGGTACAAATAAGCAATATTGCTGTATGTGTATAGTCGCATCATTTCGTGCGAAATTATCTTGTAGAGGATAAAGAATTTTAATTTATAAACTATACAATGACTGTTCGAATAATTAATTAGCCTTAGGCGATCTCGTATAACATCTAATAATCGCAGTTTAATGACAATAATTTATCTATCAATTTCATTTAGAACAACTTTTCAAGGATGTAGCTTATAGTCATTGAGTAAATTCGATAGAGATGATCTATAAGAAAAATTATATCCATTAAAGCTACATATGCATATTCTTATATTAATCTCCATAATACTGAAGTTTTTACTGTTAATAAGATTTACTTCCATTATCAAGTCATCGCCACAAATACAAAATCCTTAAATGTCTACTAACAGTAGTTTATCACTGTTTTTCTGAGGTCTAGTTTACGGTAATAAAGGTAAATTGAAATAAGATATCTACAAAAAGTATATTGGCTCATCTATACATCCTCATCTACTAAATAAAATGTTAAGTTAAATTTGACTTAACTGTAATACATATGCCATATATATATATATACATTATATATATACCTATGTATGAATATTAATTAACATTAAATTATGCTTTAATGGTGTCAAGCTTTACTTGCTATCCTTATTCTCGATATGACTATGAGTGATCACGTATTGCATCTAACAGCCGAAGTTTTTCTTTATCATTTTGCCATAAATTTATTTTGATTTAGAAATTAAATTTTTATTATTGATAAGATTTACTCCTATTATCAAGCCATTGTTACAACATAATAGAAATACAGAGCCCTTTGTTGCATTTGCTAACAGCAGTTTATCACTGTTCTTCCGTAATTTGGTTTACGATAATTGAGTTAATTTGAAATAAGATGCCTATAAAAAAATATATTGGCGTTACTATATATTCTCATCCATTAGATACAATGTTAGGTCAAACTCAACTTATCAGCAAAACATACAGTATACTATATGTATATATCTATTTGAATATTAATCGTAATTAGGCTTTAGAGTCGCTAAGCTTTACCGTGCTATCCGTACTCTTGATATGACTACAGGGGATCACATATAACAGCCGAAATTTTTCCTCATTATTTTGCCGTAGATTGATTTTTATTTTGGGAATCATATCTATTACTTTGAAATATATGTAAAAAAAATAGAATAAATCAACTATTAGTGACTGTTAATTATGTACAGTTATGCAATACATAAAATGTTTGTGTTGACAAATTTTCACTGAGTTAAAGACTGATGAAGTCCATCACAGTTGTTAACTTATTTCTATAGAAATATAACACTGCGGTAGACTGAAGTATACGGGAAATACTATATTAAAAGTTTCAAGCAAAAAGATAATGAGTTGGAATATTCTACTGACAGACTGAGTATAGCATTAATCGATATAATCAGAACTCTTATTCGAAGGACATGATGTGCGAATTCAGCTAATATCAATAATAATTATGCTTTTATATGACTATCATGTAACACCTATAGACCATGACTGGTTACGCCTATACCTAACAATCGTAGTTTCTCACCTCTACTTTTTCATTCGGTCACTTCTATTTCCTAAGATTGGCTTGTAATAATTAATTTGACAATCCATCAGTAAAAAAAATGCATATATCAGCAGTATAAACGTATCCTCTGGCATAGATTCGATATATACAAACATTCATATGTTTAGCACCATCTGTGTCTACCATTGACGAGAATATGTAGCCTAAGAAAGAAGCGCATGAATTGTATTAATCTCGTTTCCTATTGATTTATTTTACCAATTCTGTCAATGCATATGGGTACCAATATCTTACATACAATCACATGATAGTTTACGTAATAGCTTGTACTACTACTGATATTCATAGACCTTAATTTAGGAATAATTTTGAAGCATACACCATCTCTGAATAAACACCGCGAGTCTATTGCTTTATTTTCTAACGGCTTTCTGCCGTTTATTTTCAAGTAGTAATTTAGACAATTCATTCTTAGTTATTGGCAACACTCTTATTAAGCTATAATAAATTCTACGTAAGTCCTTACATATAAAACGGAAATTAATTACAAGCATGGATCGTAGAAATACGAGTAACACTTGTCCTATACCATAAATATTTATATAATGAATAGCAATTATTACTTCATTTTGTAACAACTGTAGGTATGTAGCTTATAATTTTACTTATATTTTCATGCATCGTTTAAAAAATTTAATGGAGGCAACAAAGCTAGACAGGATACGAAAGGACTACTTATGATCTGTGTATATGAAAGAAAGGAATTGTAAGCCATGTCTCAAATCCGCTCTAGAAGTATAATCACATTATTTGCAAAACAATTTCAAAGCTCAATTTTAAGGGTGTAAATTTGAGGCATGGATGATAGAAGCATTTTACACTTATGATCTGTTTATTGTAATATTTATTAGCTTCAAAGCATCTGATAGTATTGAAGCACCATATAATAACCATCAATGCTTGCATCGGTCTAATTCTCGTTCACATCGTATATTAACAAGTGTATTCATGATATTTGATTTTTTATGTCATACAACGTCTCATTTTTATTACTACAACATTGAACGCTAATCTATTATCACTCTAATGTTAAAAATCAATCTATCATTGGGATCATGTTCATATCCAAAGCAGGGCATAGCACAAATCATATTACAAAAATATATCTAAATTTTTCTGTTTCTGTAATAATAATTCTGCGAAGTGTTGAGAATTGAATCGAAGCATTATTAGCGCTAATAATCTAAGATACTGCAGTTTTAAACATTAAAGACGTATGATCAGTGAAATAAAGGGACGATTTATTATCTAGATTTTCTTATCTTTTATAAGAGCATTTGATATTACAGTAAATAAAAATCTTTAATCTTTTCTTCAGATCATTTTCGATACAGTTGTTTACGTAAAGGTGAATACATACAGTTTTACTATAAAACTTTTACAGTGCGATTCATATTTAAATTAATATATATTCCTTCGATAGTTGAATTATATGACGAGAAACTATTATAAATAATTTCAAGGCATAGATATAGAAACTAACATTTCATTATTTGCTAATCCGAGTTCAATCAAAATTTTGCAATATTTGATGCTACTAATGATATAATTTTATAGTAAGCATCTAAGTTTATTTTCTACTTACTATAAAATTATTTATCGGCATCCAAATTTCTATTTTATGTTATTTTCAAAAATGTTTACGGCTATAGACCTTTACACTATGATACTTTAATACATTAGGTATGCTTATCATAACAGTTACATTTCAATATTTTTGACGCATAAATAAGATAACAACAAGTTTACTATCTAGGTAACATAGTGGGTATATACTGTCGATAAAAGTAATTAGAAAATTTATAACTTAATTTTATTAATTACACAATTATGAGTCCTTTAAAATTTTGGTGTATTCGAAATGATAAATTATCACGTGTACAGTCATAAATCTTTGCTTAACTATGTTCTTCATTTCGCCATTACAAAATTAATTTGAATGGAAAATGATAGACAACTGATTGACAGATTGCTAACCATGAACAAATTCCAATAGCTCCTGCAAGATTGAATATATTAAAACAAATTCAAGTTATTATCTTTAGTATCATTTTTTCTTAACAGCTATCAACATCCAATTGATCTTTAAAATATCGAATACACTCAGAGTTCTATATTTGATTTTTGAAACTATAAAACTGTTCACATTCATAGTATCATTTTTTGCCTATGTACCTGCTTTACCAGTTGGAACAGATATTAATATATTTATAGGCACCATCCAATCGCCAGGCATAAGCAACAAGGGATGCTTGTACCAAATAAATGTTAGGCGAGCATGAACGCCAATCTAACATCAATTTCATATCAATTAATAGTGTGTAGCTGTTTTCTAATGCATTTGATCAATAAACACAGTATTACTAACTCCACCATCATGTAAAACTCATTAACAAGTAAACCAGTCGCATAAAGTACCTATACAAAGTGCATTTAAATAATAATATTTATAGTTAAGAGTATAGTATAGTGCCAATGTAACACTTACAGTGATAACAGCATAAACAAGGAAACATGCCGCATTAATTTTAAATTCCATCTTCTTTCTTTTAGTACCTAAAAAAGGTAAAATATCTTTTAATAATTTAAAACTAGGACTTTCATGTAGAGCAAATACAACATGGCATCAGGAAGCGTATAGACGAGATATCACATCATCAATTGGATGATAATTTTATTTAGGAAAACGTTTCAATTTTATTCAATTTTGTAATTATAAAATTTAAATGAATACTCATAGAAGTATGATCTTGCGTGGCCAACAAATTGACATCACGTGGTAAAAGAGTGTACCGATGACGCACTTTCTTCATATGTAAATATTGTTAAGAAATACATTTGCAATTGCGGATTGTTGGTCATTGCAATATACTGTACTGTATAATTAAGTAAGTACAGTATAATCGTAATAACATTTGATACAGATTGGCTACTATATGGTAAATCTGCATTCTATCGTATTGTATGGGAAGAACTCATTGAAATAAAATTGTGGTCAATTGTTGTTAGAGTCATTATTGACACTGCGCCGAAGAGAATGAAATACTGCAAATATTTTTCAAACACTATTCAATTGCTATCACAGTCTATTTGCAATAGATATTATGTTGTGGCAAATCTGTTGTCAGGTTAGATCCTCAATTCATATAACAATTTTTTACAATGCCTTGACTAAGACACGTCTCGATGATGACTTAATCATCAGCACTCTAATCAGTAGGCTAAGTGAAGCAATTTTGATTTACTCTAATAACAATTCTACCAATATACAGTACCACGAATGCCAAATTTTTTTTGCTATATATTTGTAAAGTTAAACCCACCCACAATGGAGCGTCCATTGACAGTATTTACTAGGCCTTAGGGTATGTTTTCAGCTGCTTCAATCTAATACAATTTCCTACATTTGGGTCAACATCTAGTTTAAACAGGCTACCCAATACAGTATTGCAAATTGGAAGTCCTTTCTATTTCAGTTATGATTAATTTATCTAGATAAAACACCAATTACTGTACATTCAATGCAAGTAGGCTCTCTTTTGAATTTAAAGATATAACTATCTTGCTAGGATACTTTCCATTCTCCGATGAAATTTCTCATCATTGATCGGATTATTTCTATGGAATAATAACTGCATCTATCTAGTTTTAATCATCATTCTCTCGTGCGGTAAAATGTCAATTGAAAACTGTGATTAAGTTATGAATTCAATGGTGACACATTTCAGTCAACTAAATGGACAATAACAGCAAAAACTTACAACAAAGGCTTTTCGATAGATATTGAATCACTTGATCAATGTGTAATTAAAACTAATCATCATTTCGCTTTGGCAAAGTTTGACCCAAGCTATGCAACAATCTTAACAGTAGAAATTTTTGTCCAGTCGCTGAGCTCTATCCTCTGAGTTGAATTTTATTTGCATTAAATACGTCACTTACTTAGATTTTCGTAATCGGATGACAATTTAGCCACTTTTCTATTTAACTTTGAGTAAGGAGCAAAGTTGTCCTGTAATCCATGAAATAAATCACAAAGTATTATTTAAAGCAATTATTGAATAAAGTAGCAAATTGACGAGTCATTATGGCCTGCAAGTAATGCATGTCTCAGATACGAAAATGATGAATTGATTCATCATGAACGTATTTCACTAGTTAAGTGACCCAATTTTTGACTGTTTCTCATGGTACAGTGTTGAATTGTTAATAAAATACACAAAGCCTTCACAAGGAAATTTTCAATTAATACGTAAGGCGATGTTTCATCGCGTCCCATGCCATCCTTGCTACAACTAGAGCTAAACAACTAACACAAGTAGAGCAAGGAGAATACACACTGTTCCACTAACGAAGGATATCATGCTCAATAAGACTATTGATCTTTCTTTGGTTTGAAAACTATAAAGTGTAATTCCACTTTGGAGATATCTAATGGGAGGTTTTTTTTTTCTTTTAAATTTCTGTCATGGGTACGATTAATGAAGTTGGATACTTACCACCATACTAATATTTCGCATTTCTTGGCGTAAAACTTGGATTTGTTGATTTAATTCTTCTTCTTGATGTTTCTTACAAAGTGTCTAAAGGCAAAATGACCATTGTAAAGCACTATTTCATGACATTTATTTCCATTCCTACTCGTAAGTTAATGTCGGTGCCATAGGATGAGAGTGAACGCAGACAATACCGTATACCACTCGGTCGTATAGAATTGAGTTATTACTTTACCATGCAATATTTTATCATACTATCTTGAATTAAAGGATAGAAAGAAAATTGAGCTAACAGTACAGGTGTTCTACTGCTATGATTGATTACTACAGCGTTGGATTGTCTACAACAATGTTTCCTTCACCATCAATTGATTGATTCAACATTGACAACCTGGCTAGCTCGTTTAAGACTTTGGACTAAGAAATGCACTAGGATAGAAATGCATGATATGGAAAAGAGCAAAGAATAAAACTCACCGTTAATAAGAGTTTATGAATGACAAGATAAGCAAAGCGTACAAAAAAGATATAAAGAAATATGGAGATGAGATTGAGAGCGCTGGAAGATAGGTGGATGGAAGCCATGTTGAAGCAGTTGGGCCTAGTTGGGCCCACAAGTACCAAACTGTCGATGCCAGCTTGTCGTACAAGTATTCCTGTACAGTACCGTAGAGTATGCAGTACTGTAATATACAGTACTTGGTACTACAAAACACAGTACTTGGTACTATGTTGGTCCAAAAGCGTAAGAGTCATACTGTACTGTACAAATACGGTCAACTTGAATTGCTAATATTAGCAAATGGGCAGACTTTTTAGTAATATAAATTATACAGTCGCAAAAAGCATTCTATTTCCAATAGATAGATACCCAAATGCGTATAGTAAAATAAACGATTGGAATTTGGATCTACTGTATTTTCAAACGTCGAGAAATATTGTCATTATGAGACCCGCTGCACAGTGTACAGTACACTGACTACAGTACCTTATACTGTATACTCAGTACTGTACACTGTGCAGGACTTGATTGTTGTCCTAGTTGCCGCGATTGCTTTTGAAGTTCCTCTTTAGAAGTTCCTTAATTATCGCTTAGTCATTCTTTAAGCGCGATTGGCAATTATTTAGGCACCTCAAATGCCATTGGTGCGGCAGTTTTGAGCAAGAATGTTCATATTTCCGCTTACTACCGTGCTATACCGATCTATCATCATCTGGTCGCCCATGACTTGTTGGCTGTGGTAACAATGGACACAGACAGACGGAATCAGACTATCCGTAGTTCAGTACTGCCTATAGTACAGTACAGTACAGACCGCTGGAAATACAGTACTGTACCTGGACTGGACCCTCTTCTCGGATGGACAGACTTTTCATACCCTACAGTATACTGCCGAAAATATCTACTCAGTATGGATCTTCCATGTCTGTTTTCGAAATCATTGGTGCTAACTTGAAGAACATGGACGATCTAAAGCGACTGCTTCCAAGCAGAACTTAGTAACAGGCAATACTATACAATATAATATTACTTCATTTAGAAAAAATCAGTTCCTTCGGAATCGACTGTCGACATACCTAAAGGACTGTCCTAATGACGTGTTGGATGACCAAAGTTGGCCAGGTGTCTGTCTGTCCAAAAGAGTGGCCAGTCCAGGCATTCTTCTACTGTACTGTACCGGTAGTAGAGCTCATCGTACAGGTCACAGGTCGCTCAGACCTCGACTACTTTTTGGTCCCCTGCTCGACTGTGCAATTGCATCATTGGCATTACTCAACATCATTTGCATGCTAACCTTAATTCGACGATCTGTCCTTATTAGTAGAAATCGTACTATTAACCCGCACTATCCCATCGGTAAAACACAAACGTGCCTGCAATTCTTAGTAAATATGCCTAAGAGAAAGGTAAGCTGCTCATGCTAGTTGATCCAGCTCCACTCTGCACAGTGTGCAAGCAAATACGAGCTTGATGCAATTATTATGTTCAAATAAGGCTACAACTACAAATGCTTGCAGAATCATTGCAGAATTCACCGAATCATCTCCCACGTGTTTGTTTGTATGCAATAGGCCAGTGTAACTGCAGTAGGGAAAGCAAAGAAGCAAGCTAAAAAAGCGGCGGATAGCAGCAAAGCTAAAGGTGGCAAGTCTTCTGCGGTAATATGCAGTATATTAAATACGGTGCAGCAAATGTGAAATTGCTGTAATTCAGCATAGTATTAATGAAGTAATTAATTGATAACATTAGCATTGCATTCGAAAATCGCAATATATTCGCGTAGGATGAAAATCCAATAAAAAAACTTACTGTAAGATACTGCAAGATTCATGGAGATATTCGTATAGTACTGTAAAATATACGAGTAGATACTGTATTTTTTCTCAAATCTCTATAAGAACATACTGGATCGTGTCAAAATGGATCTTTATTCATGATCCGACGTAGACTTGTATGATTTTACTTTTAAAGAATCACCCGTTTTCTGCTGGGCTGATAGATGTAAGCCTGTAACAAACATGGTGCTGAGATACAATCGTTGTTAATGAGATCATTTAACATCTAGGTGGATAAGGAGCCAACTGTGGAAATAAAACATGACCAATCGTCTGTAGAGAAAGAAAATCAATCTCATGGTAAATCGAGGTAATTATGATAATGTTCTAGCAGGGACTATGTCTGCCACTTTTCATGGAATAGCTCAAGCGGACCAAGTTTGATCCGTTCTTAAAATTGTCGTTCTTTCTCAAAAGTAAATTGCTGTAGATGACATACAGTAAATGATAAAGCAAAATTGCTTTTGAAGCAACCTATCTCTAGACATTAATATTCTTATTTTAATTCTAAATATGTAGCTCAAACTGGAATACAAAAATTACTTCTTGGAATGTTAACGGTATAAAAGCATGGTTCAAGGTAAATGCACATCCTAATTGCAAGATTCTTATTTATCTTATTATTAATTACGAAGCACAGTCATACTTGTACCCAATCTACAAGCTAGATATACTGTGCAAACATTGAAAGGATCAAATTATCATCATTTGGTATCTTCTACCATTATCATAATATCACTGTGTAGTGTTGAGTCTATTTCAACCTAGCTAGAATACCCTGCCTGCTATTTTCAATGTTAGCTGATGACGACATGAGGCTCTAGTGTTTGCTATTTATTTTGGCATAGAAAAATGGACATTCCTACCTGACTGACAGTAACATAGATATCATCTGTCTGCAAGAAACGAAATGTGCCGAATCAGAGATACCAAATGAAATTAAACTAGATGGCTACCATACCTATTTTTATTCTGCAGAGCAAAAAGGCTACAGTAGCACAGGGTAAGGATATATGTATTTCTTAGCCAATCGGTTATCGATCACACGACGCCATTAAAAAACGCTACTGTTAACCCATCATTACGATCAAACTCAATTTTATTGATGACACTAGTAGCTGCTGTTCTGTGCAATAGTTTAGATTTCTAATATATCGTAGACCTAGATAAGTTGGTAGTATGAATAAACTTTTTATTAAACGACTCCTGATATTCATTCAGGTTGCTATCAAAGGTGAAGCCCCTAAAGGTTACTTTCGGAATCAGTAAGTTTTGACTATCGCATACACAAAATATCAGCTATATTGTCTGTGCGAATAGAACGCCTTCAGTAGACAGAAAATGATTGAAAATTCTTATTATTCCGTCGGTACATCTTTTATTTATTATAATTTTTAATTAAATCATAGCAAATATTATATTGCATATAAAATTTCGTACAGATATTGAAAAGCACGATAAAGAAGGGCGTGTCATTACGGCAGAATATGATAAATTTTTCCTCGTTGGAGCTTGTAAGTGGCAGATTATTGCATAATGTTTGCCAACTATTAGACCAATTGTCATGGCTAGAAAATTGTGGTTCAATTTGTTATAACGGTATGCGTGTCTTCGTTGCTTGTAATAGATATTCCAAACTCAGGTAGAAAGTTAGTCAGGTAATAAGCATCGGCAGCTTACGTAATTATGATACTATTTACGACGTTCCGTAAAAATTTATTATAATAATCATTTCTATTAGACTGGATTATAGACAAGAGTGGGATGCTGATTTTCGTAAATACTTGCAAGGACTTGATAGAAGTTAAGCCTATCATACTTTGCGGGGATTTAAATGTATCTCACTTGGAAATTGGTATAGTACTGTTATGTCATGTCCTTGTCATAGCTACTCTTCAATGCCTGATGTTCATTTCTACTATTACTAGATAACTGAAGCGAATTGTAAATTGATTTTAGATCTGGCTAATCCGAAAACAAATACAAAAACTGCCGGATTCACTAAAGAAGAAAGGGAAGGATTTGGGAAATTATTGGATTGCGGATTTATTGATACTTTTCGTCACTTTTACCCAAACAAAACTAGTGCTTATTCCTTTTGGAGCTATATGTCCAATGCGAGATCTAAAAATATTGGATGGTAAGAAATTTGAACTATTTTGCCGTAACTTCTATGCCGAAAAACGATCGGTATTTGTAATATTGAACTTGTTATCCGTTTGAATATTTTGTACGTATAGGAGACTGGATTATTTTGTTACTTCCAAAAATTTAATACCAAATGTAGCAGATAGCATCATCCGTTCAGAAATTGAAGGCAGCGATCACTGCCCGATTGAACTACTTCTGCAAATATAAACGTTGTTCTGCATTTTTTATATCTATCAAATTTTTATCATGCCTAAGGATGTTGAATGTTCAAGTGTAAAGTTTGCATTTCGCAAGCAGTCATTTTACTACGTTATTAGTAGAATGATCAATGAGAACTCTTAGTTAATATTCTACTATTGCACTATCGAGTAAAATGCATTATATGACTTCTTATGAGATTACTTTTCTAGTTCTAGACTGACTTTTTGCAATAGAACGTTGACAGCGATAATTTGCCGTAATTGTTAATATCTTTCCTTTATTCTTTTTATTTTTATTGCGGTATCTTCAATGGCTGCATTCATCAGTTTGGTAATATGTATATTGTTGACAGTCCGTAGAATGCAACATTTTTTAAAATTATTACCGACGCAACAATAAACGTCAACAAGCATCATTGTATACGATAATTAAAATGGTTCAAAACGGTTATTGAGATCTCTTTTTCGCACCAATTGATATACGAGTATATTAGTGATATGGATAAAAAAATTGAGCATCACTTTATACAAGAGATTGCAATTAGTCATCCATTTTTACAAGTATTGTATTTCTTTGGTATACTCCTCATCAATGAAGGCTATCTTTATTCTGCGGAGTTGTTTAAAGAGGAGCTAAAATGCTGCGCACCTAACTATTCTTGCAAGAAAGTTGGTCAGATGAGGACATAGAGGTAGCAGATGTTTGAATTGGTGTTGGCTACTATTGGAAGGATGGCTCTGCGCGACTATGTAATTCCAATTGATACGTTTAAACTATATGGAATCATATTATTACTATCGCAGAACTCCAGCGCGCAAGCAATCACTATTTAGAGTGCAGTTCAGTAAACATACTTCAGTCAAGAATGCAATCTATAATCCCTTAAATAATATTGTAATTAATTATTAATTCACAATCCATATCAATCTTCGACTCTGCAAATCCTCATATACATGTATGGTTTAAAAATAAATTTTACCAGAGACTACTAAAGTACACAGTTACAGTACTAAAAGAATGAGACTACCGCCCATGGGGCCTACTACAGTAAATCATAACTGTGACTGACAGTTTCATACGGCACCCTGTCCTTCCTTAACCTCCCTTAGTTAAATTGAACTGATTTCCCAAATTATAAAAAGAAAGCGGGGACGTTCAATCGGCCTGCAGTATATCAACACTAATTCGATGTACGCTTCCAGTCTTGCGATATAGCGAAATGATCTGCAAAATAGTCAACCTGCGTATTTCAATGAAAATCATGGACAATCCATCTCTCTTTCTTTTCAGCAGTTCCTGCTAAAAGAAAGAGTTCTGAGGTCCCTGTAGTGACTGCTTTTACATTTACTTGCTGTTACGATTTCTTTTATTTAAGATTTAGTATAACACACAGTAGGAAGAGTTTAGCAGAGCTTGTGTACTAAACTAAACTTTATTATCCATATTATTACCGTTATAAGCAGAGAACAATGAAAATAACGTTCTATAACGGGCATTGTATCACATCCATCAAATAGACAGCTAATTTCTGACGTCCATCCTAAAATAGAAAGGTGTTCTTGTGATTGTGTTATCTAAATCCTAATCTTAAAGATTGCAGTTTATTTTTAAGTGAAAATAGGAGAGTGTATGGTGGTTTACAAACAATCCTATACATGACACAAATCAGTCATCCCATTAAGCATATTAAATCAAGTACGAAAAAGTACAGTACTGGCTAACACCTGCATGCTTAGTCAGAAAGATTGTGCATATTGATTGACTAAAAACTCCAGTCTAGGAACCATTTGGAGGTCCCTTAATCTCTTAACACCTGCATACTTATTCAGAAAGATTATGCATATTGATTGACTAAAAACTCCAGTCTAGGAATCATTTGGAGGTCCGTTGTTGATAAAGGAAAATCGATTGGAGAATGATCGCGCAAGACATGATCAAGGTCCGGACGCACAGCGCATGTCCGCAATTCAGTCCCTGGGGAGCTGGAGTCACAAGACCAAGGGCGTAGTCCCGTTGGTGAGTCTAGTCACAGTGGTGTTTCGGACAGTAAAGCAAATACAGCTTCAAGTTGAAAGGGTGTTGCTGATACGTATCATTTCGGCTAGTCATTCACTATGCAAAATGGATTGTTTATCCTCTGCAACTTGGGCCAGGAAAAAGCAAACTATTGCCCTACTAGATATGCAGTTGGGCAGCCGGTAAAGTTTATTTGGTGTTGATTCTCCAAGAGGTAAACTGCGGCATAGAAGATCCAAAATGACGGTTACTTACTACTGGTCATCTGTTTCCGGTAATTTGCAGGTAAGGATGAGCTATTACCAGCTTTAGCTAGCTGATTGTATATGTTGATTGAGTGTATGGTCATAATCTATCCATTGGGCTAGATTCTAATTCATCAATGATCGATGGATAAGCCCTTTTCCATGTCCAGCTTCTAAAATGGGGCCTGGTCTCCACTCCATCTCTTTTCTTTTTCACCCGATGACAATTAGAATTAGGAATGATATAGATCACTTACTTGCTACGATAGTGTTAGCATCAATCAGTTGAAGAGAACTGCAAATGCAATAATATCATTTGTTGTTGGTGTACAACGAGATCGGCTGATTGCCCTTAATTTAGATCATTTTGATAATGAACTATCAGATAGTCCAACGACAGGACTATTTTGGGATGAACTACTAAGCTCATCAATAAACTTTCTCTACAATGGCGTATACGCTAGCTGTATTTGAAAGAGTCTGATAGTGGATCTCACTTCCCTTATGCTATCGGTAAGAAGAATAGTCCCCCCCAAAAACTTGTTACATTAAACGAGTGGACAGCATTTCTTTTCCATGGCCTATGGTTCACTTTCGATAGTGCATCGGACTAACCACAACAGATTTGACTCACCTTTCAGTCTAGCAGTCTAACATCACTGTCTATTTGTCGACAAATCTGAATTGATATTACAATCTCACAACGAAGTACAACTTAGGACCATAGTATTCAAGATGAAAGGACAGTATAAGCATACAGTACGTATTCCTAGAAGAATATCGACAATGCTTGCTGCCAAATAACAATCTTTTGAAGTTATAGGACAGAGCACGGTAGTGTCAATTACTTTCAACGAGCGAAATGGATACTGACTAATTATTGGCTAACCATAATCGAGTTAAATGCCCTGGATGCATAATCCTCATACTGTATACCGACTAGATGCATAATGCATGCAGAACTCTCGTGTTAAGTATTTAGTTTTTACACTTGGATTAAACGGTATCTTTATAGCATTCGCTATGATTGGGCAGTTGTGATCGAGTCCTAGTTTACTGGACAAGTTAGTGTTAATACTGTATACGAGAAGAATTGATCATCATTGATGGTAATAAACAAGTATTGAAATTTGAGACTTTCTATCCTTTTTCTCCTTGAATTTGGAAGGCTGAATTGCTCAAAAATCTGATCTTTATGCAACAATATCTAACCCTATTAGGTCAAAAAGGCACAGCAGCAAATTGAAATGATACTAGATTCTAAAAAGATCCAGTATGAAAGAGTTGATGTTGCAACCAGTGAAGAGATGAAGAAAAAAATGCGAGACCTGAGCGGCGACCCTAAAGCGCTACCCCCTCAACTTTTCAATGATAGCGCCTACTGTGGGGTAAGAAAGTGAACTAGAATTAAATAAATGCTCATCTCAATTGTACGAGTATCTCTACACTATAAAAATAGTGATGATGTCCAAGTAGAATGATACTCTATTTTACAAATGGTATAACTATAATTGAGTGGGCCTTTTATCTCTGCAGTAGTTTAGAGTAACAGACTATAATGTGCGAAGGAGAAGCATACTACTAAAATATCGCTCGTTTAATTAGTTTAGATCAATCTTACTGATAGAATTCATGATAATATAACTTCAGTTTAGAGTGATTCGTACTCATTGCATCATTGTTACTTTTCTTAGGGCTATACAGAATTTATGGAGGCCGCTGAAGGCGAGAATTTAAATGGCTTTCTTAAATTATAACTTTGGAAACTGTCATTGCGTGGACCTGTAACCAGTGAAAAAGAACCTTTCCCGATTATTTGTCTACTAAAGCAATGATTGGCTTATGAGCAAATCTTAGAAACAAGTTGTTATACTTTTTATTACGTAGTTCTGTCTGCTTGTCTTTTCTACTTGTCTCTCTGCTTGTATTCTAGCACCGTAAAATGTTGACGGTAATAAAAATTTTTTAGTTTTGTTAAAATCGCTTATGACTACTTTCCAAAACTATTCAACACCAATGTACTCAACAATATCTACAGATATTTTTAAGGATATGAACATGTCAACAGTATAACAAGATATGGCATTCATGTGCTAGTAGCAAAATCTACTATCTAGCTAAGATATTTCAAATAGCTCATATTCTTTACTAGATATTGCATTGGAAGCATACAGCGAATCAAAAGAAATCTTCAATCAACCTATTCCATTTCATTTTTAGCCTTGTATATCGCACTCGACATAATCATATCTACTTAGCGTTAATATTTTCCTGTTGCTATGAAGTTAGAAACGTAATATCTATAGACTATAGAACTTGCAATGCAACAAAGGCAAACTGTACTGCTACTTCAACTTGAGTAACAAACAGTGCAACATCAGTAAAAGACCGACACGGGAGTCTTCTCCAAAACTCTCTTAATTGTGAAAAGTTACCAGCTTATCTATCTTTCACTTTAGTCGCGGCCAACTACCAGAGTGCATACTTGCAATTGAACATTAAACAGCTGTGTCAGTATTTGTATAATCTTAGATCCAAAGAGTTACAACTTCATACTTTAAAGCATGTAACATAAGGCTAATTACAATAGAATCACGATCTGACCTTCCTGCTCTCTTACAGTTAAGTCCCTAATCAGTTCACTTGCCCTTCTCCCTATAATGAATAGTTTTATAATTTTAAATTTTATTAGTAACCTAACTCACCCTATATATATGTATATTCATTACTATTATACACAGTAGT